CCTTGAATTTGTTGTGCATGTGTGATTAATTAAAAAAGAAAAAAAGCAATCACATTTCACTAGTTTTACTCTGTATACATACGAAATATTTTATGTTATTTCAGAATAAGCAGAAAAGAAGAGCATGATAAATGCTAGTTACTTTTTAACTTTATATTTACTAACTCAGTCTCTGCACGTGCATTTTGCTGTTGCATAGGACTTTGACTTATCCAGCAATGCTTTTTATTTGCTTGTATCAGATATTGGCTTCTTAATATTGTAGTTCAGTACTGAAAAAGAGCACGTGTAATTCGACCTTTAATGGATTTTCCAGTTGTTTCTTTGTTAAAGGTTTCATGTCTAGCGTATCGAAATCTTGTGTTTAGACACTTTTAAAATCAAGAGTAGAGTTTGGCTTCCACATTACGTGTGTTAAGCTGTGAGGCAGGGGTGCTGCTGTTCTCTGTCTTTCTGTGCTTCTAGGGAAACGCTGAGAAGGAACTCCTCGTTCTTTTTACTGGCTGTAATATGTCCCCAGTTGTCTTGGCCTGTTAATTTAGGCTGGTGTCCAAGCTTTGTAAAATGCAAGTATGGGAGGAATTGGGCCCTGTCAGTAAAAAGGTTGAGACAAAATGAGTTAAAGCAGATGGAAGAACCAGAACAAATGAGTGCACAGACCAGAGTCTTGGGAATGTGAAGCTGTCAGCATTGTTACAGTTTCTAAACTGACGCCCGTTCAGTAGAATGTTATGGAGACAATTGTGATGTTTTTCTGCACTGCAGGCCTAACAAACAGGTATTTTCAATCAGTTAGTAGAAGTTGTTCCCAAACCTGATTTAACAAATGGCTTTGGAAGGCCTTTTTTTTTTTTGGGGGAAGAATGTTATGAATTTAGGAAGGCATGCTTTGTACATGCTCAGCTGCCATTGGGCTTGTGAAATTTGGCTAAGAAAATTGCACAGGTTGGAGACAGCAGACTACAGAAAAATGATCTTTTGGTTTGGGTTTCTGATAGCAGGAACAACTGATGGAACTACTTCCACTTGCAGTTCACTTGATTTCTTTTGCATAGCTCTGAAAATGCCGACTCTGCTAAGATCAATTATTTGCTTGCAGTAGAGGAAGACCTAAGTCTGATGCTTTCCTCTCTGTAAAGCAGGCTTAGGGCTTTTCCCCTTAGGTGAATAGAGTACAAATAAAACACCTGTAAGACGTGAAAAGACACAACTTGTTGATCAGAAGGATTGCAGTTTCTATTTTTACTACTGAAATTCAGCAGCAAATATGGAGTCTTTAGCCAGAACTTTAAATTGATCCTGCATATCTTTTCTTTTTTCTCCCCACAGTTATTCCTTTGGCTGACTACTATATTATTGCTGGAGTGATTTATCAGGCACCCGACTTAGGGTCTGTCATTAACTCCAGAGTTGTAAGTGTTCTGTACATTTTATGCATGTGTATATGAACAGTTTGTATCTGCTTTTATTTTCTGTTGTTCCTAAGGCTTTTCAAACTTTTCTTCACTGTAGTAGTATGTTATATATATGCATAATATGCACGGGCTTAATAGAAATGCCACCAGTTAATATGGTTTGTATTCCACGTGGAAATGAAAGATCCTGGCAGAGTGCAGTATGGCCCAAAAAGTAGGATGCATTCCTTAAGAATTAAGGGATCGGAATAACTGAAGGTTGACAACTGTCAGAACACAAGGTTCAAATAATCGAAAGAGAAATTAAGTGATAAATATATATATGAAACAGTAATTAAACATTCAGTTTTGAAATGTTCAAACTATGGTAATGTGGTTTTTCTCTTAATTAAACTTCTCTTTTTAATTTAATATGGATTTCTCTTTAAATTAAACTCCCGAGTTTTTTGTTTCTACTGATCTTATAAACTGCTTTTATGCAAGCTTTTCCTCTGTGAATTTAGGAAAAGAAAAAAAACTTGGTTTTATGAGATCCTTTGCTAGAAATTATGTTCTTAGTCCAAAAGTAGCTGTCCCAAGTTTCTTTCCCAGAACATAAATGAATATAGAATGCTAATCTTAAAATCGTTGCTTACAAAAATTTGTACTGTACTTTCTCCTTAAATTCTGAACGCTGATTTATGTTGCTTTGTTCTAAAAGCTCACTGCTGTACATGGAATTCAGTCTGCTTTTGAAGAAGCTATGTCCTATTGTCGCTATCACCCATCAAAAGGCTATTGGTGGCATTTCAAAGATCAGGAAGAACGAGGTATGAGTCTTAGTTGCTCCTGTGTCTCTTGAGAGAAAGAGAACATAGTATAGAGAGGGTAGGAGGGAAAGCTTGTGGCAGCATACAGTGATGGTGTGGAGATGTTCTTTCTGAGGAGTAAGCTGGTGCTCTCTGCCAGTGGAAGGAATCCTGCTGATGGGGATAGACATTGAGACATGGATAGGAAATAAAATGGTAAGCTATATGTCAGCACACTGGACCCAACTTCAACCTACTGGAGACTAAAGTACAGTTTGTTTTGAGGTATAAAATCATTCTTAACCTGTCTTCCACAAAAAAACCCAACAACAAGCCAAAGAGAAGATGGAGCTGAGGTTAAGAGGAGAGTTGCATTCCAAATTTGTGTACATCAGAGAGCTGCTGAGAGAACAAAACTTTTCATTAGCTTCCTCTTACATTTTTGTACTTGCAGAGAAAGCTAAGCCAAAAGCCAAGAAGAAAGAAGAACCAAGTTCTATTTTCCAAAGACACCGGGTAGATGCTTTGCTTCTAGACCTAAGACAAAAGTTTCCACCCAAATTTGTTCAGGTATGACACAATGATAATACAAGTTAAGTAATAAGTTTGAAATGGAAAGCTTTGGTTTGAGTATGGGATTCCCGTCAGTAATTGCAGGAGTTAAGACCTTGGCAAAACGATGAGGGCAAATTGCGTTACACCAGTTCCTTATCTATTTGTAGAGGGTCTGTAAATGTCAGCTATCTGACTTCGCTGCTGCTTACAGTTTCCTGCTTTGTGAGCTGAATCAGATCACCACAACTATTGTTTTCTGGTTACCCCATTGTTCTGGACGCTCATTAATTAGTGTGGAAATTCTCAGCATTCTGAGAGGTGGTTGTGATTACCTCTGATAATCTCTAATAGTTCTTTGTACCATTGTGTCTTCTGTTTGGGAGCAATGAAAATAATTTTTATAGCGACTCAGGAAACTGCTTCTCAGACATTGAGAAGGACTGGCTGAGCATTTTTTCATTTAGTCCTTTTCAGCTGTCTGGGGAAAAACTGGATGTTAAAAATCACAGAATGGCCAGGGTTGGAAGGGACCTCAAGGATCATGAATCTCCAACCCCCCTGCCACATGCAGGGCCACCAACCTCCTCATTTAATGCTAGACCAGGCTGCCCAGGGCCCCATCCAATCTGGCTGTCCCCTCTGCCCAGGGACGGAGCAGCCACAACTCCTTTGGGCAGCCTGTTCCAGTACCTCACTGCTCTCTCTGTAAAGAATTTCCCCCTGACATCCAACCTAAATCTTCCCTCCCTCAACTTAAAACCATTTCCCCTCATCCTGCAGTTAAAAAGTTCCAACCTGGATTTTGTTTCAAGTGTATTTAGTGATCTGTTCAACAGCCTTCCCTTCTTTCTTCAACTCATGAATGTAACAGCACTGCTTGGTGTGCATTCTTAAGTGAATAGTAGGAAGGGTCAAGAATTAAGACTTCATTTCCACTGATGTGTTGTTTTTTCTTCCCCCACAGCAAAAGCCTGGAGAAAAGCCCATCCCAGGTAAATCTCTAGTATTATCACAAGATCTAAAAAGATATGCCATATGTAGTAAAGTCTTCCTGTTGCCCTATGAGCTTCTCACTGTTGCCACTGAGGTGGTTAGGGGTTCTGGCCTTGCCGAATTGTGCAAAGGCAAGAGTAGAGAACTTAGTGATAGCAAGAATGAAATAGAAAAAATGCATATTCTGCTCCCTGTCTGGAAGATGTCCTGCCCTTTCCATCTGTAAAAGCTATGTTATCTGAAGGTCCAAATGCAGGAAATAGTCTTTGAAAGCAGCAGATGGGGAAAAGGTAAAAGAGGAAAGGAATAATTGAATAATTTGGTCAGTCCAGCATCCTAGTGATTTTGGCAAGTTGCTCAGGAAAGCACGTGAAGGCTTTTAGTTGATCTGAAGCAACTTCAAAACAGGAAAAGCATAAACTAGATCTTTTCATCCACTCCATTATTATTATTTTTTTACCTGTGTAGGCATGAGTTCATTCCTTAGTTCTTAAACCTTTGAAACTCATTTTATCCTTTTGAAATCAATGTTTTCTAAACACTCTGAAGAATACTTTGGGAATGAAAATAGAAGGTTTAACCCTGTTTTGCTGTTACTTCTTAAGTGGATCAAATAAAGAAGGAGCCAGAACCAGCCCCTGAAGCTGTCAAGACAGAGGAAAAAGAGACTGTAAAGAATGCTCAGCAGAGTGCTGCTGCTAAAGGACCACCTGAAAAACGGATGAGACTACAGTGAAGGGCGAAGTCGATGCATATCTGGATTAGTCAGTACCTGGAAAACAGCAGATTCCAACTCCCTTTCTTCATATTTATGCTCTTCAACCAAGACTGTGACATTTCAGGAATTCAAATCCCTGTAACAGCTTTTTCTGTAGAAATCTGTTACAAAAATGTTAATGGCAGGATGTGAGCTGCCTTAAGTAAGGTGTTTTCAGTTTTCATCTTATTTTGAATATTGGCTTCTGGGAATGGTTTTTATAGAGATGTATTTATTTTGCAGCCTCCTGAAATCTACAAACCCCTGCATTCCTTGTGTCTTGATTTGCTACGTAAACAAACAAGCAAAAAAACCCTTTAAAACAACAACAACAAACAATTCACCTTGTGTCTCAGTTAATAAAATCATGATTGCTAGAATGCCTTTCTTAACTGCTTACTTCTTTAGTAGCAATTATACCATATGTGCAAGCAGCAATTTTGTTTTGTTTGGATGCTGAAATATGCTATGGACTATTTTGAGGGAGGCAGGTTCACCTAAAGAGTTTAGGCTGTCTGCTATAAATTGCCATGCCTTTAGTATGCTTGGGATGCACATCAGAAATTTGGTAACTGAAGACTTAAATCCACGTAATTAGATGTCAAACTGTTCTCAGTCTGTAAGGGTTCTTGGACATTTGTTTTACTTAATGGTTTAGCTGGTCTTTTATGATAAAAAGTATTGAGGAGGATTTCTTAGTGCATAAAACAAGCTAAAATGTCCTAATGTTTGCACTATTAGAGTGAAGCTGTTTATGTTTCTCCTTTCTTTCCTTACTGTCTCTCAAATATATCAGTTACATATCTCTTCCTCTGTGCTTCTAGCACCTTTTTGCTGCATTTTACCACCTTGATTAGTCATCTGCCTTTTAGACCTGAATAGGTAAAGCAGTGAAACATTGCGAAGAGCACTTTATTTAACCATGCTGTTTACATAACTCTTTTTTTTTTGCCTTGCAGAAAAAAAATTAGAAGTCACCCATTGCAAAGAAATGACCATTGGGTTGTTTTTTGCTTTTGTCAAAGTAATGAAACAATGCAAAGTAGCTTGTTTTCTCAACCATTGTCTTCTTTCTTGAAGTAAACTCTAGGAAGTGACAAAAAAGAAAAAAGCTGTACGTAGGATATAAAATGTTGATAGGAAGGAAGACTAAGATACACTTCTGTCGTTTCCCCAGATTTATTTTGAAGTTGTAAGAGAAATCTTGTTTTCTGATTTAGTAACTAATAAAGAGTTCTGATGGGGTAGCTATTGAACAGTGGAAAGACCCATGGGATTTTTGCCCTTTAATCCAAAGCTGTAACAGCAAATATAGGTAAGCCAACAGCTGTTTGCTGTTGATACATCAGTGTACTTAAGTGTGTATTACCTTCATTTTATATAATGTGGGTGACATTTGAACTGCTGTTTCTTGAAATGCTGATGGAAATAGGTAATAAGGTAGTGTGAACTATTAAGTATAGAGAGAGCAGTTATTCTGGAATGTTCAAAACGAGCTGGAGCTAATTATTTAATCTTGAATAATTACAAGGTAGCATGAATATGCTTAGAATAAAAGTTTTGCTTCTTTCTCCTATGAAAGAAATTCCTTTGAAAGGAAGGAGCTTGAGAAGTGCCAAAACCACTGTCTTGTTCACCTGCATGGTAGAAAGGAGGCATCCCCAGAAATGAGGCATGAGTGGTGAGGAGCCTCGAGATTCCCCACTGAATTTTTGATATTCAGATGAAGTTCTTGTAAAGGGGCTGTTAAGGCAGCTTAACTCTATGTGTTTTCATATCACTAGAACCTATAAGCTATTCGGAAAAGCTTGGTTAAGAAAGATGACCAGATTGCACTGTAATGAAGATTGAGGGTTTTATTTCAGTTTGGGAGATTAATTAAATACTTGTGTATCAAAGAAGGATTTGAAATTACTAGCATAGGAAGGATATCTTGTCTACTGTTAAAAGCACGTGAAAATGGTTAAAAGTGGATGCTAGTACAAGCAAGAATTCTGTCATTAAGCGGGCTACCCCTACAGTACAGTGTATTGTACAGCACAAATACTGGAAGAATTCTGCCAAAGAAAAGGATTTGAAGATTGGTGATAATATGAGTAAGAGGGGAAAAAAATCTCTTATGAAGCCATTGGTAAGACCAAGACTTTCCTAAGAGAGAAAAGACAAATATTGACCCTTTATAAAATTGAGTGCTGTAAAGCAAGTAGGATACCTTGTTCTGTCTTGCATTGTAAGAATACATGGACAAGTTAATGAAGCTGAACGGATTTAAATTTAAGATGAATCACTGCACTTCATGTTCAGAATTTGACCCAATTTAGAAATGCGAGTGAAACTTAGGGAGGCAGACTGTCTTTGTGTTTGCCTCTCTTAACTGTTTTTGCTTTCTGCAGATCCATCTGGTTTTGGTCAGTGTCAGACTGAGGACATTAAAAAGGATCGTCTTCTGCTCTCATCCAGCTTGAGTTAATGCCAGCATATAAGCTATTGAAAGGATAGAAAATAGTTTCTATGCACGAAAATGTGAATTAGAATGCAGTAAGCCTTTTTATTTCTTATTTGTTTTTTCCCACAAAGGAATGATCTCTTCTGCAAAAAATATCAAGAGCTGTAGAAAGCACAAACACAAAGAGTAGTGGGAGATGTTATCGATGAATGTGTTGATTTCTTAGTAGCCATCTTTCAGTGCTGAAGGCTCACTGCATGAGGGAATGAGGAACTGGAATCTTGTCTGATCCTATTATTTGCTGACAAGATATTCTAAAACAACTTTACTGGTTAAATGAGCTTTGATATTTACTTGCTCAAGTGTAATTATATCAGATATTACTGCTAAAATCAAAGTTACCGTCAAAAAGCTGCTAAACTGCTATCTTTTAGTCAGTTATGTTTCTTGGTGTATGAGAATCTAAGTCTTTTTTCCCTCTGGTATTTATACGGTATCTCTTAGCCTGAGTCTGAGCACTGAAGTCCAGAGTCCTTCAGAGGACATTCCGTATTTGTAAAGCTTATAGATGAAAGGGAAATAAGTAGTTCCAAAATTTTTACTGTCACTTCATTTTGGAGGCATTTGGTTGTACAAAGGAAATACATTTTTCTTTACTTTTGCTCTTAGATAATAACTGTTCAGACTTTAAAAGGACTTTTCTTAATCCAAATCAGAGGGATGAAGGAATTGAAGACGACCTAAAAATCTAATAAAAACATTCTCCTGATAGCCTGAAGATGCACATGTCTGCATACATATCCATATGAACAGATATGCACACATATATACACACTGCAAAAATCTGGCCAGATTACAGGAAGAGAGGGAGCCTTGCTATCTCCCTTCACCATTTAAAGTTAACAGTATGTGAAATGTGTCACAAATACAGTCTTTTCTGCTCTTCAACAAGTAAGATGTGACCATGCATTATGCTTACCCATTTCTCTTTGCCACCTGCACCCATACTTTGTATTTTGATAACCTTTCCCTAATTAAAAAAAAAAAAAAAAAATTACATGCCATTTGAACAGTCAGTACATGTTTGCCATGTTTCCTTGGAGAGGTACATAAATTTTGGATCAAGTATTGTTTTAGTCCTGTATTCACTCACTTGATGAATGTCCTTCTGCAGCATAATGTGGATTATGGATGGCTGGGTAGTAAGGGGAAATCTTCTCAGTGGAACGAGGTATGATGTAGTACTATTGATCTCAACAATCAGAAAGTTTCATTTTTTTTCTGTTAGGACAGTGGATTTCAACCTGTGGTCCTCAAGACTGCTGTGAGTCTGTGACCTGTTCATAAAGACTCAACAGCAGGTAAGTGAGAAAAGTAAATCTCTTGCTAGGATTCAGTTTCGTAAGAGCTTGTACCTCCATTGAAAATTTTAGGGGATGACCACATGAAAAAAAAAAAGTTTGAAAGCACTACTGCATACAAAGAAGGCCAGTCACACCTGCCAAACAAATGTTTCTGCTGCTGAAGTAGCTATGGATTTATGCAAACTTTCTTCTCTGCTCTTCTATAAGGTCAGGTTTTTTTTTCTTCCAACCTGTTCATTGTCATGCAATAGAAATCTACCTCCCTCTCATTTATTCTTAATCAGAGTACAAAGTGCAGTGTTCTGTTAATCAGAACACAAGTGTCATTCCCTTTATGTAATCTTGCTGCCAGAGGGCTTGCTTTAGATGTTCAACACGATGGAACTATGCAGGAGAAATGAGGATTGTAGAAAGCTGTGAGTTTGCTTGTTTTGGAGTAATTCTGTTTAGTCTTCCACAAGAGCCTACGCCCGTACTCATAGAGCAGGGGATGGCTGTCTTGAGGTGCCTTTGTGGCCATCCAAGATATACCTCTAGGCAGTACGGTGCATTTCCTGATGGAGGAGGCAAAGGAGGCTGCCATATTGCTGATCTTCCCTAGTACCTCCCAAGGGGAGGGCAGGCACTTGAGGGGCAGTTCTAGACTCGAGGGTGGCTCCTCCATTCCGAGCTCCAGCCCCTCACAAACAGAGCGTGGGGCAACGCTGTGCAGTAACCATGGAGACACTGCTGGTGCTGGTAGTGCTGCTGGGCCTGGTGGGGTGCTCCGCCGCCCCTGATGATGAGCCTGGGCCGCTTCATGTCACCGGCATGTGGGTGACAGTGCCACGACAGCTGAGCCCCCGGGCTGACACCAATCCCCTGACTGTCTCCTACTGGCTGGAGGTAGAGGGGAGGCCACAGGTCCTGCGCCTGCGGCCCAGGAAGGGCCTGGCCTCCCAGCCTTTCACTTTGGTCACCTACAGTGAGGACGGGGCACGCCGGGAGGAGCATGTCTACGTTCAGGACAACTGCTTCTATCAAGGTGAGGTGCAGGGAAGTCCCGGCTCTCTGGTAGCCCTCGGCACCTGTGGCAGGGGTCTCCGGGGAGTGCTTTGGATGGAAGGCAGCACCTACGAGATCGAGCCCATCCCTGATGATCCAGCCTTCCAGCACATGCTCTACCGCATGGAGGCAGACAGCGACCCTATGGGCCCCACATGCGGCCTGACCCCCGCGGAGCTGCAGTACCAAAAGACTGTGCTGCCCTGGCTTCAGGCTCCACGAACAGAGGAGAAGTACGTGCTGAAGGACTGGTGGACGCACACCAGGTATGTGAAGTTAGTAGTGGTTGTGGACAACGTGAGGTTTGTGAGGTCGGACAGGAATGAATCCAAAGTCTTGAGGCAAGTCCTAGAAGTTGTCAATATTGGGGACTCTCTGTATGACCAGCTTTCTGTTCAACTGTTCCTTGTGGGACTGGAGATCTGGACCAAAAACAATCTTATAAACATTACTAACTCTGTAAACAAGGCACTTGCAGACTTTAACAAATGGCGAAAAACAGACCTTTATCCACGGATGCACCATGATGCTGCTCACTTATTTGCATTTCAGGGCTTTGGAAAAAGCCTGGGATTGGCATATCTGGGGTCCATATGTGACAAGCAGTGGTCAGCAGCAGTTGATTCCTTCACCAACAGGAGGCTGTCTTCATTTATTGTCACATTTGTCCATGAGCTGGGCCATAATCTTGGGATGCGCCACGATGAACGGCACTGTAAATGCAGGCGGAAGAGGTGCATTATGTACGAAACTGAATCTGACACCGATGCATTCAGTGACTGCAGTTACAAAGACTACTTTGACCTGCTTGGGACTGGTGGTAGCTGCCTGCGTCAATCACCAGCACTTGGCAGCTACTACACTTTGAAGCGTGAATACTGTGGGAATAAGATAGTAGAAAGCGGAGAGCAGTGCGACTGTGGTTCAAAATCAGACTGCAGAAACGATCCTTGTTGTCACCCTAACTGCACGTTGACTGCAGGTTCAGTTTGTGCTTCTGGAAAATGCTGCAAGGGCTGTCAGATCCTTCCAGCAGGAACACTCTGCAGAGCACGTACCGGTAACTGCGACCTGCCGGAGTACTGCAATGGGACCTCCCCTTGGTGCAAGCCAGACGTGTACGTACAAGATGGAGCCCCTTGCGAAGATGGTGCCTACTGCTATAAAGGAAAATGTTCTTCCCACGGTAAACAATGCAAGCATCTTTTTGGCAAACAAGCCAGGCCTGCTCCTTTAGACTGCTTCAAAGAAGTGAATAGTCGAGGTGACCGTTTTGGAAATTGTGGTATTCGTAACGGTGTTCATTTTATTAAGTGCAGTGTTGAGAATGCCTTATGTGGTAGGCTACAGTGTGAAAACATACACAAGTTGCCCCCTTTGCAGAACCACATAACAGTCATCCAAACCCCTGTTGGAGGTAAAAAGTGTTGGGGTCTTGACTATCACATAGGGATGCCTGTAGCTGACTCTGGGGCTGTGGAAGATGGCACGACATGTGGCAGCAACAAGATTTGTATTGAAAGGACATGTACCAACATTTCAGTGCTGAATTATGATTGTAACATAACAAAGTGCCACAACAGAGGAGTGTGTAACAATCTTAGGAACTGCCACTGTGAGTATGGTTGGGCTCCTCCGTATTGCGAGCGGGAAGGATTTGGAGGTAGCATTGACAGCGGGCCCCCTCCAGCCAAGCAGATTTTTCAGAGATCAAGAATAGGACTAGTTGGCCTTGTTTTTCCTGTTGTTCTCGGAGTTATTCTTGCCCTATATTATAAAAAGGAAATAGGGGAATGGATTATGAGGGAAAGGCCTGATTCCACAGGAGGAGTTAGTGGTTGTTTCAAATACTGCAAATGCCAGTAGTTGCTATATAACACCTACTGCTGAGACAAAATCTACTACCGTGCACTTCGCAAAGACCAACAAAGCTGTGGCTTTGGAGGCTCCTAAGAAAATCTCTGGTAGCCCTTCAGCTGATACCTTATCGAAATAATTCAACACGTTCTGAGTTGTTACAATCCAATGCAACGTTATTAAACAGATTAAATGTTATCTCTGTTTATTTTAAGTTAATAAATGCAGGTAATAAGGTACGCTGCTCTTGGTTTGTACCTTGGGTTCTTAAAAATGAAGCACTCAGTGAGCGGTCGGTATGCAGTGTATGTACTGCTGGGTCCTCCAGAGAAGTGCTGTGGATTTTACTGCTGCAAGAACAAGCAATCTGTGAGGCCGCACGAGTTCCCTGCACTTCTAAAACAGGGCTGTTCTGCAGCTCTCCCACCCTCACAACTTCTGCCCTATTTGACAGATGCTTTATATCTGCCTACCTCAGGGCCTTTCTCTTGTTTTACTCTGTGATTACTTGGGGAACTGTTACCAAATATGCTGCCATAGCTGTACACCGTGTCACACAGAAGCATTACTTTTAATAAGATGTAAAATACGTGTCATTTATGAGAAAGCACGAGGGATCTGGAAATACCATTCAGTGCTTCATTATGTGCATGAAAGCTCTCCTCTAGCGCAGCAGAAAGCAGACGCTGTAGTTTCGCTTTAACAGTGAGAATTTTATTCTGAAGGAGGGACATTTCTGTACGAAAGGCTGTAAAATAATACACTTGTCTGCTAGCCGAACAATCCTTGCCGTTGCTGACTGCCGGCAAACCGTTAACTGCCTTTTTTAACGCGCTAAACGGACGCGGGCAGAGCAACCCGTCACGGCCAGCCCGCCCACCCCGGGGCCGTCCAGCGGCAGCAGCTCGCGCGCCCTCAGCGAGCCCCGCGGCGGGAGCGAGGCGCTGCCGGCTGCGGGCCGCTCGCGGGCTGCGGCGGCCGCCGGGCCCGGCCTTTCCCGGGCGGACTACAACTCCCAGCGCTCCGCGGCGCGGCCTTGCGCCGGCGGCCGAGGAAACGAAAGCGGTCGCCTCGCCAGTCGACTTCACCTTCAGGCTGCAGCATGAACGGCAGCGTGGCGGGCGGCGGCGTTTCCGAGGAGGTGATCAGGCTCACCCGGGGACCCTCAGGTGAGGCCGGGGCGGCCGCGCTCTGTGCGGGGCCGCGCCGAGGCGGGGGGGGCAGCGGGCCGGCGCCTCGGCCGCCCCTTCCGTGGGTGGGGAGGGGGGGGGGACGGGGGGACGCGGCTCCGGCGCCGGGGGTGCCGTCCGAGGGGCGGGAGGAGCCCCGAGCCCTGCGGGAGCGGCGTCCCGCCGAGCCCCGGCCGGGCAGCGCGGCGCCGGGGCTGTGCCGGCGGCGCCGCGCCGAGCGCGTTGCTCCGGAAGGGGACTGCGAGCTGTGTGAGCAGGCGGCGACGCCGTCGGACTTCGTCTTCCGCGATAACAGCGCGGCGAAGCGCCGTCGGCTTCTCTGCTGGAAGCGAGGCGGCTTTCAGGACGTCTGCGGCCCCCGGTGCCCGCGCGGCTGCTCGCGCTGTCCGGTGAAGCGACAGGTGTGCTGCCCTGCCGCGCTGCTGGACGCCCAGAACCAGGGGCGTTCCTACGGCTTGTGGGCTGCGGTGCCCCGTAAGGGCAGCTCGCGGAGGCCGAAACGGAGCTCTGAGTTCGGCTGGGGTGGTGCTGAGCTGTCCGTGAGGAAGGGGGATGGGGAAGGCCGGGAGGCGTTGTTTGGCTTTGCTTTTCCGTGTCTCGGTCCCGTGGCAGTGACCAGGCCTTTAGACGCTTGCTGGCTCTGTTGCAGCACTGAAGCGGCAGTGTCCGTGGTGCGGCAAGTTAGGGGCAAACGCCCTGAACTGAAGCGAAATCCTGGATCTGAAGCGTTGCGAACTCCGGGGAACTTCTGAAGGCAGAGCTTTGATGTATGAGGCCTTTAATTAAAACAGGGGTGAACGAAACCGGCCCGGCTGCAGCTCGTGGCCACGGGCCAGCTTTGCCTTGTTGTGCCTCACCATGAGCCACAGCACTGACATCTTCACAGCCAGAGCCGTTCTGACTGACCCTGGGGAGGCAGATGGCCCCCGCCGCTCGTCCCGTGGCCATGAGATAACACAGATATTGCAGTTTCCCCCGTCCTCCGGCCTTGGAGAGCTTCTGGCAGACTGGTCTGAGCAGTGGGGTTGGGTACCTGCAGGCGGTTAGGATCATGGCAGACGCTTTGCAAGAGGAACTCTGCTTCTGTGCTGCTTCTGGTCTCCTGGTAGTGATCTGCAGGATCAGACTTGGTCTCACCACGAGCAGGCACCCTCTGCCTTGCAGGAGGAGTGACTGCTCTGAGACCTGTGCAGCCGTGTTGGTGTGGTTGTGAGCCTCAACCAACAAAAATGAAGCCAGATCTGTCTTGAAGCTCCTTCCGTGCATTTGGAAACATTTCACCTAAAATCTTGAGGGGCAGGAAAAGGATGTTGCAGGGCAGAGTTGAGAGGTCTTCACCATGACTACTGGAATGTAGATCTGATTCCTGTGAGCAGCACCTGTCCAATCAGTAGGATGAGCTGTCTGTTTTTTTACACAGCCCCCTGTGATCTTGAATCACTTGTCATTCATTTCTGTTGAAGGAACAAACCTGTGAAGCAGTGCATAATCCTACAATCTCTCTAATCTGAGTTTTGACTGTCTAGTTTTCTAGAATATAACTGATGATAAACATCTCTGGCAGAAATTTCTGAGGGGCTGAACGTACTTATAGTAGCAAAACTGTTTGTATAAATCTCTTTCATATTTCCTTCTGATTTATTAAGCTGAAGGGAGGTGGAAAAGTCTGGTTTAATGAAAAACTAAATAACTTTGCAGATTAAATTTGTAGTTTGCATTCTTCAGTATCTAAAGATTCTATAAATCGTGGGTTGTTTTTGAATGTTGATGGAGGGAATTTTTATGTTTTAGGGGGTAAAGGAGGCATGGAAAGGTCAGAAGGTACACCCGCACCTTCTGTTAAAGCTTGGTCATTGCACTTCTTGCCTCTTGTAGGTGAGGAACTTAATGCCTCATGCTCTCTTCTTCCCCTTCCTCTCTCCTGGTTATACTCGGTCTCTTAATTCATAAGCTGGAAGGAGGAGAACAGCAAAAGAACTGAAGGGAAGGGAAGGAAGGTATTTTTAGCCAGGCTGGAAGTTTAAGTGCAGAGGAGGAAAGACAGTGAAAAATCCCTTCAGTGAGTCCTGCAGGTCCTTAACTCAGTGTGACATACATTGCTGCCTCACAGAACTCTGTTCCTCCTTTGTCTTGTCCCTGCCGATGTAAACAATGGCTTTAGGTTGTTTTGGTAACCATGGGTGAAAACTTGTAAAGTGTAATTTTGTTCATATTGTGTTGTCTTTTAAATAGATACACACACAGACATATCAAAACTGAGAGAGAATCATTATTCTCTGAAAGTTAGATTCCTTCTGTTTTTTTAATAAACACTGATTAAAACTCATATTTTCTATAGTATTGATTTCCCTGAAGCTTCATGGCAAATCATTTTCAGGCTTGTGGATGTTTTTACTTTTTTGTTTGTTTGTTTTTTAATTCCCACTGAAGAGTGTGCTATTGTGTTCAAGTGCTCCTTGTAATAGATATTATTCCAGCTCAAAAGTCAGTGTTTTTTCATTCTGTTGCTCCTCCCATCTTCTTCCTCATTTGTCTGAAGCTGCCAGGAATAGGAGGGAGCAAAACAAAACAGCACAGGTGTCAAGGTCACTGTTAATATTTCTCTGCTTCCTAGCTGTGGATGCACGCTTATGCCATGACTCATCTCATGCAACCTTTGGTCCCTCGTGACTAATTAAAAATACTGCTTCCCAGCAGGCATGAGGTGTTTTTTGCCTTTCACTTTCTACTCTGCTTCCCAGCATTTGAAGTCCCAACTTTGGGAGAAAGAGAGAGAGAAAGGAAGAACACACCAGCCTGGCTGAATGTGGAGAGAATTTGCCTTCAGCTCTCCTTGACAGTAGGGTTTGGATGACTGTTTTATATCAGAAAAATAAAGTTTTTTTTGTTTGTTAGTTTTGTTTGTTTGTTTTTTTCCCTCAATTTCCTTTGTTGATATACTTTATTTCTTTTTTTCACTACAAGTCTCCTTTTAGGAATCTTTCCCATCCCTTAACATATTATACTCTTGACAAGGAAGCCCAGCTGCATGTGCAGTACAGAATGTGGTTTTCCAGATTCTGATTTCAGTTTGTTCTTCTGGATTTCGAGGAAACCAGAAGACTTAGTCTTTAACTGTGCTTTAATCCAGCTGCTGGGTCCAGCCAGTGGACTGTATACAAGGCTTGTTTTAAAGAACCATACAAAACATAATAAGAGTGTGGACATCAGTTCTACATAATGTATGTGTATTTCTTTTTGTTTTACCTGAATTCCTGGAACTTTGTTTCCTGTCATGTTTTGAACTCTTTGAACAAAATCTGAACAAGCTGTGTCTGACCTGCTGTGACTCCTGGAGGCAAAGGCTGCCAGTCCCAGCCCTGTAGGTGCAGATGGGAGCTGCTGAGTTGTCCTGAGGCTGGCAGCATGGCTCCTCATGCCCATTTCCTCATCTGTAGACAGGGACTGGTGCTCCTTGCCTTCCCTGACTCTGACTCTAAACTCCTCAAACTTGTGAGGCATGATTCCTTTTTGCTCCAAGGTTTTACTGCAGCCTACTGTGAAATGCAGAATGCTTCTATTTCCTTCCATTCTGCGCTGAAGAGGTGAATTCCTGCTGAGGGCTGAGCTGACATCCTCGAAGTGAAGATGTGCTCCGCAGTATTTCTCAACTGATGCTTTGTGGAATGAAGCACTCAGGGTCTCTCCTCTGCTTTGGAGAACTAATTGTCTTCTTTAGACAAAGATGGTTGGGAAGGATGGTACTGATTTGCGTGCTGTGAATTTCAGCATGGTGGAGCTAACAGAACAGCGTGGGTGGGCACACTTCCCAACAGCAGCAAAAATGCCTGGAGCTTAGAGTGTTTTCTTACCAGCTTTCTCTCTGGCTTACCTTAGGGCTGGGCTTCAACATTGTTGGTGGGACAGATCAGCAGGTCATTTCTAATGACAGCAGCATCTATGTCAGCCGGATCAAAAAGGATGGGCCAGCTCACCTTGATGGCCGATTACAAGAAGGAGATAAGATTCTGGCGGTAAGCCCTTTCTTCTGTCGTCCTGCATGATCTTGAGGTACTGTGTTCAGTGATGTGATAGGACATGCAGGTTTGCCAGCAGAGGAGGAAGGATGTGATGAATGCAGTTGATGCAGAGCTGCGGAGAAGCCATTCTGGGGATGTGGGAAAGCTCTGAGTGCCAGGGAGATGAGTGCCTCTACACATATACGCATAGGTCCATCTCTTCTGCCTTCCTGATTTGTTCTCAGAAGTTCTTCTTGATGCTGCATTTGTATTTCCTCTGTAACTTGCCTCCTTGACATTTTAGACTTCATCATGCCTTATGATGCTCACAGAGGATCATTGTTTACACACATGTAAATAAAAGAATTGGTCTTCCATCTCTACGTTTTTTTTCACTAATATTCTGTGACTTCCAATCCTTCTGCTCAGGTGGATTTTTAGGTCATAACACTTCTTGTCCAAAGAACTCCTCACTGCAACTCATCAGGAGTAATGCAGACTGTTCCTCCTTTTAGATAAATGCTTTAAAGTATCTGAGTTTGAGTCCCCTCAGTTCTCGGAACTGTTGTCAGTCATACAATACAATATGCTTTAAAAAGCGATGAGTAAAGAAGTAGCCTCTCCTAGTGTGATATACGATCTTTGGGTACTCTTTTATTTTATTTTATACTTAATTATGTTCCACACGTGAACTTTTTAGTCCCTGTAAATGAATTGAGCGCCTTATACTAGTTAGAGCCTGTTATTGATCCAGAAAATGGCATTAAATTAAACCACAGGATACCATCCTTTATTTTCTTGACAGTTTAATATTTTTGTACATGTGTCTGGGGAGTCTGAGTGTCAAGAGGGAGGAGGAATTGGTTGTGATCTCAAGGGATGCAATTAGAGGTAATGGTGATGAAACAGTGAGGAAAAAATGGGATGAGTATCATTATTTAGTGAATGAAAATAAATGAGAATGAAAATAAAACAGGCTATAAAACCTTCTGCTGTGAGAAATTATTTAAAGAGAAATCCTAGCATTTCAAAGGGGATGTCAACATGTGTGTCTTTTATTTTTTAACATCACTATGCTTTTCAATTTATGTTTTCATCATTCTTCCAAAGAAAACATTTCAAAAATGTACCAACAGAGGATCCAGTGTGGGAAGGATGCTCTTTTAACAGTAATAATAATTTTGCTGTCACCGCTCTTTTATTTTCATTAGCTATCACAGCTACACCTTTGATTTATTTCCAGTAAAGCTACAACATAAGAAGCTGCTATTGACACAGCTGTTGTTTCCTGTTTGTTTTTTTTTTAATAGGCAGTATTTTTTTCAACATCTCTATCTTTTGTCTTGAAGCTTCTCATGTTATCTCCCAACTTAAAAATGCATTTATAATATGAATGGATGAATATTGGTGTTCCGGTCTGTTGTGTCATGCCCTCAGTAGCAGAATCATGTGGAAGAGGAAGATTTTTATCTCCTGTCCATGCCCTTTAGCAGTTGGTTCTCCTTTTTTTTTTTTTTTTTTTTTTTTGCTAGATCAATGGCAGAGTCTTGAAGAATTTGCGACACATGGATGCTGTGGAACTGTTCAAAAATGCAGGCTGCGATGTGTTTCTGAAAATTCAGCACAGGGTATGTTTAACCTGCTTCTTAGGCTTATTTCTGGCTCAATTTAGACTGGTTTCTATGCTTGTTACTTCTCCATTTTATGTAGCAGAAAAATGCAGTGTCCAGGTGCCCAGTGTAAGTTATGCATATAAAGAATGTGTCTGACCAGTGGCCTCCCTTAGTCAATGAGTGCTGTGTCCATACCTTTGGATTACTTGTTTATAAGTGTATTAGTGAAGTGCTGAGGTTGGAGGAGTCCCTGGGTCTTTCTTTTTGCTGCACTGTGCTGTGTTTTCTCACAGATCTCCTTTCTCAGAGGCTGAGGTTTGCCTGTGAAGACAAAATCTCAGGTTCTCCAGTTTGCTTTCAGAGGCCAAAATCTTGCTGGAGACAAAACTTCCCTATTTCAGAGTTCATGTTAGTAGTGAGATGTGTATGTACCCAGCACAAAGGAACATTTGCTGCAGCGGTGTAAATGTATTGGCACTGTTTGGACATAAAAAGAGAGGAATCCTTAATCTGCTGCTGCCACTTGAATATCCCTGACGAGCGTTGAAGTTGATAAAGAAGATACTGGTCAGCTGGAAGCATGCTGGTGGGAGGTGGTGGGATGAGACCCCTTTCCTACTCCCTTAATGAAGGAGTAAATATTTTGGAACTTTGTATGGGGCATATGGGAAAAGCAGAGGAAATTACTTAAGGAAAAGGTGCCTGCTAGTGTCTGGATACTGTAGTAAAGCTCAGTCCACCTGAAGCTGTTCTAACCCTCCCTGTGTGCACAGGCAGCTGGGGAAGCCATCTTGCATGTCCTTACAGAGCCAGCTGGTCCTGACACAGAACCGCAGGCTGCAGTGGGCTCTCTGACACAAATGCTTTGTTCTTCCTTGTAGTTGCAGCCAGAAAATGGCCCAGCGGGTCATCGAGGTGGTGGAGACTCAGGTGGGCTTCCCCTAGCAGCCATTCTTGTTCCAGGCCTGGCACTCGCTGCAGCAGCAGTCTGGATCTTGTTGAGGTATCGACAGCGGATGTGAAGAGTACACCCTTTGGATGTCACTGCGTATTTTACAGCTATGATGTAATTTAAAGATAGAGATTAACGATCTTATCACAGACTGATGTCAAAGAGGATCATTGTCTATCATAAAGTTGCTGCTGGTGTTCTTTATATATTGATTTGTTGCAGAGTGAACGGAAGCAGAAAGGAGCAAGGGAAAGGAAGGAGATGACTGTATTAAGTGGGATGGCTGTTGTGTTGTTTTTAACTCGTATGAGAAGTTTTTAGCCATCTCCCTCTATTTGCACCGTGAACTTTCAAGCACACATCTATTCCATGTTTTAGGATGTGATTCTTTATAAAGAGGTTGGGAGGGTGGGTGGGATGGGTTTAAATCAAATACTTTTACTAGAGGCTTTGCCTTGTTCCCACTGAATTTCTCTTGGAACTAATGATCCATACCTGAACCATGAATAAAGAGAAGTAATGCACAGGCTATCTTATTTTTTTCTGTTGGCTTTTGTTCTTGTTGTTGTACTAAATAAATGCCTTAAGAAAAATGTATAAAGTCTAATCTACAGTTTCACAGGTAAAATCTTTGGTATAACTGCTGATTTAACACTAATGTACAGTACTGGTGAGGTACTCTACCAGTTCTGGAAATACAGAAGACAGTCCACTGCTAGAGAAAGACTTTTGTTGTCAGAATGTTGCCCATTTTTTAATCCGAGTTGTAAGAGGATGCTTTCCAGAAATTGCTGGTGTAGCAGAGATGTGCAGACAATTGAAACACAAGAATAAGTAATGGCAAGAGATACGATCATGCTGAAGCTGCAGAAGTCTTTCAAGTAGTAATGAAGCAGTAGCACCTCCATCCTTCAAGCTGATTGAAATCTACATCTTTTGGGTGAAAAGTTTCTGTTGTGGGTTTGTCGTTTTTTCTTCGGTAGGGGGAATACTGCTTTTCTGTAGCAGCTAACTTGCTTTCTGCTGTCAGAAAATCTTACAGTGGTTGAAAGAGGGAAAGCTGAGAGCAGTCTGGGATCGTCCTGGCTGTGGCTTGTTGTGAAGACTGATGTGATGCTCAGGCTCAGGAGATAGGGTGGTGAGTGTGAGACAGGGTAAGGTTTAGCAAATACAACTGAGGGGCAGATTCCTTCTCTGGAAAATATGTTACTGAGTTTACCTGCAGAGACTCATCTCCTCACTGTGATTGGAATAGTTTTAAATGCCCCAGCTGACCTGAACTCTGTAGAGTAAGACCTGTTTCTCTTGTCTCTAAGAAAAGATGTTTTTTTGTTGTTGTTATTTTTGTAAAAGAAAAGCACACTGCTTGATCTGGTCTGTATAATGCAAAGAAAAATCATATATGCAATATACGTATTCAAACAAAGAAAAACTGGTGTCTCAGTGCTTTACTTTTCTCTCTTCTTCATTATTTTAGCAGGACATTGACGATGCATTTGAAATTGTTGTGTGTTTGCTCAAGGCCGTAGTCTTGTCATCTACAAGAAGTAAAAGCGGTGTGTTGTTATGCAAGATGTTCCTCAGTCACCACAGCGGTTCAGATCAGTCGGGCCGTGTGAAATGTTAGCCTGGCACGTAAACTGCTCTCGTGTAAAGAGAGGAGAAAGCAGGAGGAATTTTCCCTATGTTCCTGGTGAACCTTGGGAACAGACTTGATGCACAGGTGTGTGATGGCCTGGGCCAATGCATGCAGTGACCTGCCCACCAGTTATGTTGGACTGTGTGAGGGCAGCTGTTAGGATGGATTTTTGCAGATGCAGCAAGGAGCAGTGTGCCTGTCTGTGACCTGCTCTGAATGTTTGGCTGTGGTGTCCATGTAGAGCCCGCATGTATTAAAGAGGGCAGCTACAGCTTGATGCTGTTTTATTCCATCTGTCAAAATAAAGGTGCAGAGAGCAAGAGAAATCTCAGAAACAAACTTTCTCTTAGCCCTAGAATGAGTCTCGTCTCTCTGCAAAACAGGAGTGTGGAGCCAGATGGGGAGAATGAGGAGTTAAGGAGGAGGTTATTTGCTCTTTTACCATTGAAGTCAGCAGATAAAACACAGCCTTTTTTATTTTTATTGTTTTATGCTCTTCAGGCATGATTGCCATCTGTTCTGCAGGCAGTTTATTAAATTATGGGGGGGGAGAGAGGGGCTTATCTCCAGTGCCCAAATAATTCATGTGGCTTACTGAGCAGCTGAAAGCCTTTCTGGTGCATGCTATTCCTTTGAATTCCTTTTCCACAATTATTTGAATTATTTTAATACCGTGGCATTAACTTGGTGTTTTTTCCAGAATAGTGGCTTCTATTTAACCAATCTAACCCTCAGAACTGACTTTCTCTGCCTTCTTCAAAAATGTATGTGGGTATCACCAAACGATCCTCATTCCAATCCCTGACCACATCACATCCCATTTATTGAAAAAAACACCTTAATCTCAAACAGCCCTGTGAGCTGTGGCTCATATTTCTGTACCTCAGCAACTAGACTGTACCACCTAAACTTTCTGTGCTTTCCACAGTTTCCTTCTCCACTCAGTTTCTGTAGCCGTGACTTTCGTCTCTATTCTGAGCACTGTGTATAAAATTTTCTGTCATTACTGAAGAAATGAATTAAATGAAAAGAAAAAAGCTAATGATGACAGGGTGTACGTGCAAAAAATGGGAGAGAATGCTAAGGAGAACACTTAGAACAGCTGGAACTCTGCAATCCCTGTTTCTTTCTCATTTTCTTCAATTCCCTCCCTTATTGTGAACTTATTGACCTGCTGAGGCCTGTGTTTTCATATACATGTTAGGTGTTATGAAAGAGCCCTCTAATAACTGATGGTTTTTTCCCTGTGATGTGAGGGGGCTTGTGTTTTGTAATTGTTTTACCTTTCACATATTACTTTTAAGAAATTAAGCCAACAGAACCCATTAGGATTTTCAGCCAACTTATAAGAACTGGTTTGTGTGAAATAACTTTTGCAAGTCTCTTAGAAATGGTAGACTCTTTTCCCCATATTCTTTTGTTTTCTGAACTGCTGTACACAACCTGTAGATCACAGTACAAATGCCATTGCCACATGGAGAGAGAAATTCACTTCTTTTCATTTTTTATACCAAAAGAGCAGTACCTTTTGGTCAATGTGTGACACTAGAAACTTGTGTTAATTGCCATTTGAGTTTTGACTTCTAAATCCACCATTGTGCCCAGATGTGACCTACGTGGTGTGGGTAAGAGTATCAGTATTTGTGTCTTATTGAATTAATGCATATCTTAGATGAATTGGTTGTGCTTATTAACAGATCTAGATTACAAGATCTTTGTCTGCTTTGTCTGCGGTATAATTTGCTCAGCTCGCTATCTGTAGTGATACTGATTTTTGTCTTCTGCCGGACCACTGGTGAAAATACTGAATGGAATTTGGTACAGAGGCAGTGTCCCAACATGGTTATGATTTTTTTTTTTAAATTAACTGTTGGCATCTTCTGATTATTGGATTCTTTGTATATTTAACAGACACATTTTGATAGCTGAGCACTGGCACAAGTTACCGGAGGCTGTGGAGTGTCTTTCTTGGAAGTATTCGGAAGCTGCCTGGACATGGCCTGGGCACCCCACTCTGGGTGTCCCTGCTGGAGTAGCGGTTGGGTCAGATGGACCCTGATGTTCCTGACAGCCCCAGCCACTCTTTGACACCATATAGCATCTTTTTTCAAAAAACCATGTATCAGCATGCTGCATAGTGCTAAGTAGATTCCATCCCAGTGGTTGTTAAACTTTATCAGCTTTCTTCCTGAAAGAAGAAGATACATGGATAATACTATATTACCATTGTAATTTAATCAGGTGAGTTTATTAGTCTCACTCTCCTCCTATTTCCCAACTTGTTGATGTGGCTTTGTGGGACTGTGTCCCACAGCTGTGGTCCCAAGAGAACATTTCCATGGAGAAATCTGAAGGAGAGTCTTAGCTGTACCTTTATGGCTTTCCTCGTGACTCCCTTTAGGCAAACTGATGCTGCATCCATGCTGCCTTCTTAGAATGCTTCCTTATAGAAGCTCTGGCTGTGACCTTGCATGCAGTGGAGGGATACTCCATGCCTTTCAAAGCTTTCTTGAAAAAGGATCTGTGGGAGTGTGCACTGATTAGAATGAAGAGCAATGCTGTGTGGACTTGAACCATGGCTTTCCTTGTCATATTGGAGAGCTTTTGTTCTTGCTGCTGCATCTGTAACTGATTCTGGCAAATTTCACTATAGGGAGAGCTGTGTCTCTCACTTGGCTGCTAAAACCAGCTTTCCTAAAATAGTGCTCTTAATAAGGGAAGCTAACTGTGCTAAGTATGCAGGACAATTATTCAAATTGCCTTGTGTCTGATTGGCAGTTATTTGCCAAGCTTTTGTGCTTGTGTGCAAAGTAAAAACTCTGTCAGTGGGCACTGTTTCTGCTTTCTCACTCACTGGGCATGTCTTCCAGCCAAGAATGGCTTTGGTAAGGTTCTATTCCCTCTCATCCCTCTTCACCAACTCTCAGCAGCCTAACATTTGTGCCTGGCTTGCATTTTTTGCAATGACACAAAGGCAATTGTTCTTAGAAAAACTGCTGCTTTTGCCTTGCATCAGCAAATACTGATATTTGTTAATTCAGCGATGTCCCTTTAGGTGGTTAGAAGTTATGTCAGATGCACTGGCAGATTTTGACTTATGCACTGAACCAACTGTTGGACTTGCTGTTACTTACTCCTTTTCCTTTTGGAAACAGACATTGGCATTTAGCTGTGTGGACAGCCCTCTTTCTGACTGGTGCATCTGGTGTAGGACATATGACTGGAACACAAGTGTGAGTGTTTTCTCATATGATGTGGCTGAGGCCACAATCCAGTTAGATTGGTAACAAGCTCTGATCAGCTCCAAACTGAGCCCAGAGATGTCCTAGAATCAATACTCTGAGTATCAGTATGTTAAGCAGGATGCTACACTCTTTATAGCAGTCTTGTCTGACCTCCAGTTTGGGGCATGTCTTTGAAGGCCCCCTGGTGCTGTTATGATAATGCTTAGCTCCACATCTGTCCATTGTGATGTGTCTGTGCCTCACCTTCCCAGGTTCCTGATCATGGGTGGTGGTGAGAGAAAAGAGGCTTCCAGCTGTTATAGAGCATCAGTCCACATTACGTCTGTACCCTGTCTCCAGCTATGAGTTGGATGGGAGGGAAAGACAGATCTTGGCTAGAGATCACCAGCCAGATGACAACGCATCCAGTACTTGGGAAAGTTCAGCAGAATGCAGGTCATGCTAACCAAGCCTGTCATGATTCTGCTGGAGCATGGTATTCTCAAAGAAAGCAAGCAAAAAAGCAACCAAGTTTTGC